AATGGTAGACATTTCGGGATTATTTGATGTTTTAGGAGGTGGATTTGGAGTACTGGTGTTTTGGGATGGTAAATTTTTTTGGGTTATGTTGGCAAATGACACATTAGGATCTGATGTTCGGAAAGTGGATCTATGAATTGAGTTAGTGGTAGTTCTTCTCATCTGACGTGGGTGTAGTTGTTGTAATTCAGTGTGAGCGCGACAACCTCTGTAATTGGCTGGATGTTCTTCACCGCAATTTGCGCATTTCGGGGGATCGCTCTTTTTCTTTTTACAATCCTTATGATTATGCTCATCACCGCATTTTACACATTTGGGTTTTAGTGAGCAATAATTTTTAGTATGACCAAAACGTTGACATTTAAAGCACTGCGGTATAATTTGAGACTTTTTCCTCGGCTCTACTGTAATTAAAGCATTACATATTTCTTTGATATTAAAAATGTCTTTGGCTTTTTCGTTGGGAGTCAATTCAACCGCACATAATGGCATCGGAAGTTTAACTTTATTTAATAGTCTTGTAACACTAATTATAGGTAATGAATAAGTAGTCAATTCATCTTTTATTTCAATGTCTGTTAGAGATATAGGAACATTACGTAACACTACGGCTAAAGTTCTCTTTGTTAGATCCTGAAAAGTGTGAAATTCAAGTTTTTTCTCTGTATAATACTTAGTTAAAGTTCTATAATCGTTTATAGACGTAAGGTTGATTTTTAGTGAATTATTTTTGACAATGGTTGTAAATTTTTCAGTGGTTAACGCTTTAATATCATTGATAATTTCTTTATGGTTTGATTTGTTATGTAGAAAGATAGGAGGTACTTTAGGGCCTTTTTGGGATTTATTTTCCAAAGAGTTGTCATTAATATCATCACTGTTGTCTTCATTAGCAAGAACATGGAATCTATTTTGCGCTAAGAGATCTGGATTAAAAGAATATCGTTTATGAATGTCATCTTCTAGAGGTGATAACTGATCGGATCCTCGTTTTTCGCCCATACTAGATTCGGTCGAAAACACGCCCGCAGGCAGCTTTCCTTAAATATATTGCTTTCCATGATTTATTATTTTGTTAGATTAATAATATATGAAATTGTAAACACGATTGATTTTGTGAAACGAAACTGCTTACGAGACTCGCGATACTTGTTTAGAGCACGTGCACTCACTTTGACCGTCCGAATTCAACTCAAATTCCTCCACCTAAACAAAGTAATCCGAAACCAACTAAAAACACACAGAAACGAATCCTGGACCCGTAAACTCCAATCCCTAAATCCCAACGATAATTCCATCTGGCAAGAAATCCGCAAACTAAAATCCAAATTCAAACCCATACCCGACCTCAACTCCAATAACAATTCCCTCAAACTCACGGATCCCGAGAAAGCAAACCTCCTGGCCTCCCACTTCTCGAACATCCACAAAGCCAAACCCAACACATCCCCACAACAAAACGACATCGCTCAACACACACACAAAACTTCCTCTTACAAGAATACGACCCTCCAGATGACCTCCACCACATCACCCCATCAACCCTGAAATCTATTATCAAACACCTAAAACCCTTTAAAGCTCCTGGCAACGATGGCATCCCCAACATCCTTCTCCAGTACCTCCCCAAAAAAGCAATAGTCCAACTAACTTACATCACCCGCCATATACTCAAATTCCAACACTACCCCTCAGCCTGGAAATCCGCAATTATATAATTCCCATCCCCAAACCTAACAGGACCCCTCAATCCCCCGCTACCGTCCCATATCTCTACTACCCTCCATCTCTAAGGTAGTAGAAAAAATTATCCTTGACCGCCTCACCTCCCACGCCTTCGACCACAACACAATCCCCAACCACCAATTCGGCTTCCAACAATACCACTCTACCACACACCAAATCTCCCGCATCGTCAACGACGCAATACACAAACTCAACTCTCGCACCCACACCGCCCTAGTTTCCTTCGACCTCGAGAAAACCTTCGACACCGTCTGGATCGAACGTCTCATCCACAAACTAATCCAATCCAAATATCCACCCTACTTCATTAAATTAATCCACAGCTACCTCACCAACCGAAAAATCCAAGTAAAATTAAACTCGACCCTTTCCCATCCCAAAGAAATTCAATCCGGCGTCCCCCAAGGCGCTGTTATTTCCCCCCACCTATCAATGTCTTCACCTCAGACCTTCCCCACATTCCTCAAACCAAAATCGCCACTTACGCCGACGATACAGCAATTTATTCCCATTCCAGAGACCCCAAAATAGCTATGCTTTCCCTCCAAACCCACCTCAGATTCCTAGAAAAATATTATAACCGAATTCATAGTATTCACCAAAAATAACCATCTAACCAGAATCCCCCTTTTCCCTTAAAAATCTCCAACATCCCCCTAAAAACCGAAATCAAATACCTATAGTCGAGCCGTCGAATTTGTGCAGTGATAAATCACCGTGACAGGTAGGTAAATTTCTCACATCGAAGGTCGCCCTGTTCGGATTCGTCAAAGTAAGTGACCACACCCCTCCTGGGGGTAGCGCACTGAGCGCGTTACTGGGGACAAAAAAATAATAAAAGCCGCCGACGCACTGTAAAAGAAGGTTTATTGTCGTATAGTGTAGCTGCGCCTTATAGACCCTGGCGGGAGTAGGCGGTTACATAACGAAGGAACCGACTACCCCTTTTTTTGTAAGTACCTGTCACGGTGATTTACCACTGCACAAATTCGACGGCTCGACTATAGGCATCACACTCGACCAGAGACTCACCTTCTCCAACCACATCCAAAAATCCATCGCCAAAGCATCCTCCACCATAAAAGCTATATACCCTCTGTAGCGTACACAGCCTACCTTCACATAGAAATTAAAATTTTTTATCAAATTACCCAAATTGCTATGTTACCATTTTGTTGATATTTTGATGTAAATTTATTCGATTACAAACTTTCAACAAGACGACACGTCTAACTTGTAATTCTAAAAAGAGTTTAAATTATTTATATAAACTACTACTACTCTTTACCCTCTCATATCCAGAAGTTCGCTATCTCTGAAAAACAAAACTCTCCTCTACACCACCATCATGCGCCCCTCATTAACGTACGCCGCCCCTATTTGGTCTAACGCCGCTCCAACCAACCTTAAGAAACTCCAAACCTGCCAAAACAAAACCCTCCGCATCATTTCCAACTCCAATCGATACATAAACATCCATCACCTCCACGAAATCACACAAACCAAACCGATCAAACAAGTCCTCTCCAAACTCAACCAAAAATTCTATAAGAGCACCAAATACCACCTAAATCCAATAATCCAAAACATAACCAGCCATCCCACGCAAGACAGGAAATACCGATTTCCTCACGAAATAAACAACCTAAACCTCATGCCCGACATATAAACAAGCACATACTCCCAAAACATACAAAACCCCTACAACTGACAACCCCCCCCCCCTTTTCCCAATATCCCCAAAACGCCCCAAAATCCCTAACCTCAAACAGCCCAAACATTTTTAACCACCTGGGTTGAAAGAACCGTTTATGGCGTCCAGCGAGTTGCTGAAAAAGAATTAGAATAACTGGCTGTGTATATGTATATATATTTATTATTCCCCAATACCCCCTGTAAATATCCCCCCTGTAAATACCCGCGATATATAACTAAAGCAAACTTAAAATGCTCTCTGCCCCAGATAAGTTTAAAATGAAATATTTAAGATATATTACCTAGTTCTTAAGTGAAATGTAATTACCTCATTCAAAAAAAAATTATAATTAATAAAGTTTTATTTGAATTTGAATTAGGTACTCGCGCAAGTACCGGTGTGCGATCGAAAATGGTAAAATTGTGCCTTTTAGTTTTAAAACTTTTAATAAAAAGAATAAATAAGGAAAAAGTGACTAAAACGCGGCCCACTATGGGCAAACACAAACTGGCGGACACGAAAATTAAAACGTACGTCAACTGACGAACAAGATTTAGACTCCACAGTTACTACGGAACACTCCGTAGCCTCACAAATTTCCGACGAAATGGAGGTCTCCAGCGACGAGTCCCAAGGCCCTAAAAAACTCAAAATTAGTAAAACAATAACCTCAAACCCTCCCGTAACCAAAATTTCCAAACAACCAGAACCCATTCCCTCAACCTCAACCGTAAAAATCATCGCTACAATCCCCATGTCGAACAAATATTCCCTTCTTCCCGAGGAAATAGCCTCCATAAAAAAAGCCCCAATCCAATCCCGTGCACACATGCACATCGACGGGTTCTCAAACCACTCGAAAATCACCACCGACGTCAAGTGGGTCGGTTAAAATAGCTATAGCCTAAGATATTCTAATGGTCAATGTACAATCAACACGACGAACCCTGATGCCAGAAGAGATATAATAAACCGACTCCGCTCCAGCAACGTGTCTTTCCATACGCATACGCCAGAAGAAGAGCGGGAAAAAGCCTTCGTCCTAGACGGACTCCCGCATCAGATCGAACCTAAGGATATACAAGAGGACATACTAAACGAATACGACATCGAAGTAAGCAAATACTTCAAGATGGGAGGAACGAAATTCCCCATGTTCCTGGTAACTTTCACAAAAATTAAATCCTTGAAAACGATCCAGGAATCGATTAGATATGTCCTCAGAACACGCGTGTTGTTCTGGGATCATGTTAAGAATAACAAAATGCTTATTCAGTGCAAGAACTGTCTGATGTGGAGACACTTAGGCTGAATTTAGTGCTCGACCGACGGTCGGCGCTGATATCCGAACGTGCGTACCTATATCATAGTAAGTGCATCGGTCAATTCACTGCTGCGCTGATGAACAACAGCGTGCGTACGGCTACGCAGCGCTGACGAAGACCGTCGGTCGAACGCGTCCGCCCGGCGAACGTCGGTCAGCTGACGGGCGGTAAAGTATATGATGCAATTCATTACTTGACTGATTCATCAGCGCATGTACAGTCACATCAACAATATGAATATTGATACTGAACGATTAATTACTGAAGTGCGCCTTCAACCACAGTTATGGGACTTATCTCATAATTTATATAAAGACCGTGATGCTAGGTTAAAAGGATGGCTCGAAGTATGTCAAACTTTATTTCCTAACTGGGGCGATCTATCGGATGGTGCCAAAAAAGATATAGGTAAGTAAAAAAGATGATACGTTCACTGAATAAAACAAATTTTATAACATTTTATTATTTAATTTGTAATTAAAATATACAATTGTCTTGCCATGGCACTGCACCATTGGGGGAAGTGAAATAGTTGGCGAATTTATCCCTCAATGTATCACCTGACCTGGTAACGCAATTTCTATTGATATTAAGGTCTTGCAAACCATCAATGGTATACGTATCCTCTTCTCTGTAACCATCTCGCTCTCTTACGAAATTGTGCAAAACGCAACAAGCTTTGACTATTTTTATTGTATTCGGCACGGAAGTGTTCATAGGTCTGTGGAATATTCTAAATTTATTTGTCATTATTCCAAAAGTAGATTCGATATATCTTCTTGCACGACTTAACCTATAGTTAAATACTTTCTTTTTATATGTCATATTACTACGTACGTAAGGTCTCAAAATTTTATTCGATATACCGAATGCACCATCACCAATAATCATATATGGTGCTGGTGCGGTTGTGTTAGGCAATGGTGTTGGAGGTGGTAAAATTATTTCGCCGTTGTGCAGTTTGGTATACAACGTAGTATTCTTGAATATTGAAGAATCGGAATCAGTTCCACATGAACCTACATTTATGTATGTAAAGCGATAGTCAGCATCGCACATCGCCAATAAAACAATAGAATAATGTTTTTTGTAATTAGCGAACAAGCTTCCACTATGTTCGGGACGAATAATTCTAACATGCTTTCCATCTATACATCCAACACAGTTAGGGAAGTTTGCCTTATGTTCGAAGCCGGCTGCTATTGTGAGCCATCCGTCTTCTGACCTAGGGATCGAAAGACATTCTTCCTGAAGTACGTTCCATATATTTGCACATACTTCTTTTACAATACCACTGATGGTTACTATACCAAGCCGGTAACTAAAATGAAGATCTGCGAATGTTTGTCCAGTCGCAAGAAACCTAAAACCAAAATACACACTAATCATTTTATTTTCTTGTAGACAGAAGCATACAACAACGGTGGAAAACTGCAAATGACCGGTATGTTAGATGCAGAAATACATTAAAAAACACCAGGTCTGGGGCAGGAGGTGGAAAGCTGAAAAAATATGTATACTTCGACCTGATGGAATTTCTTGATAAACATCATGCGGTGGGCATCGAAGATTCACTTCAAAAAAGTCAATCCACAATAACTAATATGACACCAAGAAGCGAAACCATAGAAGACACTAATGTTATCACAACGGCTCTACCGACAATGAGTACAACAAGTAATACTCAAAATTCAATAAGTTCTAGTACAGAGGGGACTTCCCAAATCACTTCTGTTATTCCACCCAACTTCCCAGGAACTAAGAGAAACCGTCTAAAAAGGAATAAAAATGATGCGGAAAACGACGAATTTGAGAGGGAAATGGTAAAGATGTTTAAGGACAACACAGCCATGTTGCAAAATGACGATATGGCATTTTTTGCTTCTCTTTTGCCAATTACTAAAAATTTTACCATACAGCAAAAATTACATTTCCGCTCAGAAGTAATTAAAATCGCAATGGAAATAACTAATAACTCTACTTTAAATGTTGGTTATGGTCACCCTGGATCATCTACTGATTCTTATGGTCGCCCTGAATCTTCCATTTCCTCTATCATTTTAACATCACCAGCATCACAAGCAACTATCTTTGCAGATGGAGGTGAATCTCACGAAATAAGAGTAGACGAACACTCCAACATGCAAATCGTAAGCGTCAATTCAAATTCTGATTTATCAGATTATCTTAACCTTAAATAACTTTTTTATGCTTCTGTATATTTAAATAAACACTACTTAAAAAAAAGTTATTTGTGTGTATATATATATATGAAACTTTATACAATACGTACCTTAAAGTGACGGCCACTCTTTCCGTTGGTGATACTGGAGCTCTAAACATGTTTTGACGTTTTATATTTTATTCAAGTTTTGCTACTAATTCATCAAAACATCTGATAGACATTCTAAAGTAGTCGAAAAATTTGTCCTCGTGCTCTCGTAGTTTCGAATATAACGTGCTAAATTCTCCTTGTAACAGTCTTTGTGCAATTATTGGGTGAACATGATAGCGTCTTCTATTTTTATTTCGACTTCGTTTTCGAATATAATATCCGAGTATGATACAATTCCTTAACGCGTTCATTTTTATTGGGACTGTCATTGGCTGCTTCCGTTCGTCAAGTAGCGAAGCACTGAACAAACAGCGAGCTGACGCTGAGCGCGTTTCGTCAGGACCGACTCATCAGCGCAGATTGTCGGTCGAGCACCAAATCCAGCCTTAACGTCCAATTGTTACGCGAAACCCAGGTGCGTAAAGTGTACAGGCGAACACAAAACAGCCGAGTGCGCGATAAACTCTACCGATTGTCCGAAGTACGCAGAAGCCCTACGAAAACGAAACGTAAGACTTCCTCAAAAACCACCAACTATCTCCCAAAAGATTCTTCCCCCAGCTCCTAAAAACAATGTCCACCCCGTGGAACATTATTGCCGGCAACAAAACCGCTCCTCACGTACCAATCGCAACAAACAAGCACATCCGATTTGTTTGAACTCACCACTCCCATGTCGGAACTAAATAACCTAATCATCCAATGTCTGAACTAATAATCGCCCACCTGTAACGGTTTTGTTTTCCGTTACTTATATTTTTGTGTTTGATTAAAATTCTTGTCGTCTGAATTTTTAAAAATTTGAATTCAGATTGTTGTTAGAGACTGGTTTTGGTCGGTTTTGGTTTCAGGTTGTCGCTTTTTGATTGGTTCGAAGGTTTGTAACGAGCGACGGGTGGTTGATTTGCCAGTATCGTTCTAATCTTTGAGTAAAGAGAATCATATTATCTTACGCTCCGTAAACGTTATAAGAAAGCGTAGTTATTTAAGAAAAAGTTTTCAATTGTTGAATTTTTGGTTGGGTTAAGGCTTTTTCGTCACATAAGGTACGTTATTCGATTGTGTAAATCTTGTTTAATAATTCTTTTTGATTTGATGATTCTTTTTTTTTTTGTTGTAGTCTTTTAATTTTTATTTTCAATTCTATTTTATTTTTTTTGGAATTACTATTGTTGCATCATATAATTTTTTGTGCCAATAATTTTCAGAGATTATTGGAGAAAATTGGGATTCAGATAAGAAATATATATATATACAGTGTGTCCCCGGATTGTGTCCCCGTAAGGTATAATTGACGATAAATTTTTGAATTCAAATTCCATCTTTTACAATTAAAGTCTGGATGTCACAAAACGAAATATAACCAAGTTTTACGTTAAATGTTCTCAAACTACCAAACTTAACGCAAGAAGTTTGTTAACCGTTGCAGATAAAGTGGTCTTTCTGAGCAATGTACAGCAAAAGTTGATTAAGATAAAATGTTTGTTATGTTAAATTATAGCCATATGCGGAATTTTATTAATTTAGTACATAAAAGAAAAAATTAGTTTTTTCTTGATAATTTTTTTCTTTTATTTCGTTTTACAATAAAAACAAATGATCTGAGTGAACTAACAATTATCATTTGATAGCTCAGCTTTAGCCTATTGTCAAATATTAATTGATCATGTTTACATTACAATATAAAATATTTATAGTGCAGTGCTATGGATTGGGGAACATTAGTTACAATGCAGTTTTAAGGCAATTTGAGGAAAAATTTGGATTTTTAGTACTACAAAAACAATTAAGAGAGTTGTTAAAAAAATTCAGAAACAGGCAATGTGGAAAATAAAAGAAAGGAAAAAAAGCTTTTAGATGAACATGATGTGGGGTCGATTGTTGCAGTATCAAACGCAATGGATTACGGTAAAGTATCGTTAAGAGAAAGGGCAGTTCAAGTCGGTATAAGTAAATCCCATGTACAAAGAATTTATCGAGAAAATAAAATATTGCTGTATAAACCAAAATTTAATCACACTATCGAATTAGGTGATGAAGCAAAACGTTTAGATTATTGTTTGTGGCTTGGGTACAAAATTTTGAAAGACAAAACTTTTTTAAAAAGCATAATATTTTCGGACGAAGCATCGTTCACCACTAATGGAGTGGTTACATCACAAAATTGTCGATTCTGATCAAAGACTAATCCACATTATCGCATAATTGTAAACGCTGCTTGTAAACGCCAGTATTCCCAGAAACTTCCTTCATAAACGGCAATTTGAATCAACACCTATATTTGGAAATACCAGAAAATTGTTTATTTAATTATCTTCACGGTGTGCTTTTAGAAAAACGCAATAAATTATATTTTCGACAAGATGGTTGCGGCACACATTCGACCATTTTAATTAAAAAGTATTTAAACGTTATTTGGAAAAAGATGGATTTGTAGATATGGTCCGCAACCATGGCCGTCAAGAAGTCCGAATTTATCTATTATGGGATTTTATTTTTGTGGTTATGTAAAACAAAAAGTGTATGTACAGGGTGGTTCAAATTCGATGTCCGAATAGGCTAACTCGGAAACTATAAGAGTTAGAAAAAAAGTAGCTTACATGTCATGATCTCGTTTTTCGAGAAACTGCTAATGCCGAAAACCTCATAGCGCTATCGTCTTTTGTTTTTCCCCTAGAGGCCAAAATTGGAAATATCGTAAAACCAGCAAGTGCAATTATCTTCGTTATTATTATAGGTGGAGTATTATAACTAAGACATTATATGGACACTTTTTTATAGAGAATTGGATGACGTAGTCAAAAAAATTTTTTCGGTTTTAGATTTTGAGATATCATCACAATTTTCGTTTTTTTAAATGGAAACAACCACTGATTATTCGCTTATTAAATTCGTTATTTTTTTCTGATTACAAAAATATAGGGTTCGACAGGTCTATTTCTTATTGTTTTAGAATAAAGCCAAAAATAAACTTTTTTTTTAAATTTCCATCTAGTGTCATCGACGAAATTAAATTTACAGTTTCCTGTAAATTATGGTACTATAACTAAAAATTAAAAAAACAAATTTCTGATGTTTGAAACAAATAAATTTGTTGAACTATTTAATTTATATATGTTTTACACAAAAGTTGGAATAGATTGCATTATTTCACATTTTTTATTAATATTTAATATTATTATTAAATGACTTAATAAATTATTGATAGATGGCGCTCATATATTTTTCTTTTGAATTCAAATAAACATAGCAACATTTGTTTGTATTCAAAAAGTGTCACTTTAAAAATCCTGTTTTAAAGATGAATTACGAAAACTTTGAAAAGTTTGACATGTTAGAATGTTACATATTACAAAATAAAAGTAGTGAATTGGCTGCAGAGTTGTATTTTAATAGATACCCGGAAAGAAGGCAGCCAAATGCGAAAATATTTAGTCGTTTAGAAAAAAATTTAAAAACATTCGGTTCTTTTAAAAAGCCTAGACCAAAATCGTATTATAAAGAAAATGAAGACGAAGAAATAAATGTTTTAGCGGCAGTTACAGCAAATTCGTCGATATCAAGCCGCGAAATGGAGAATGATCTTGGTATTTCCAGAAATCGCTGTCTTCGTGTTTTACATAAACACAAGTATAAGCCATACGTTCCTCGAATCATGCATCATTTACGAGATGGTGATACCCAAAGAAGGCTTGAATTTTGCCGTTGGTACGTAGATCAGGTTAATGAAAACCCAGTTTTCAGTAGAGCAATTATCTGGACCGATGAAGCACACATTAGCAGTGCGGGGATATTTAACAGAAATAACCAACATATATGGTCGAACGTTAATCCCCAAAATACCATTGAAAGGCGTACTCAAGGTCGCTTTGGTTTTAACGTATGGGTAGCATTGCTAAATAATGAAGTTTTGGCATATCAAATATACCAAGAAAATTTAAATGCGGAACGGTATTTAAACATATTAACAAACCACATTGAAAGATATGTTGATGGTTTACCTTTACGTGATGCGGAAAAACTATATTTTCAACATGATGGCGCTCCTGCGCATACTGCTAGGCGTATAACTGATTTTTTAAATATTAATTTTGAAGACAACTGGATTGGTTCCAGCGGAAACCATCGGTGGCCACCAAGATCACCGGATTTGACGCCACTGGATTTTTTTCTCTGGGGCTACATCAAAAACCAGTTATATTTAATGGATAATGGAAATATAAGAGAATTAAAGATAAATTTTGAGCATTGTCTCAATTCTATTCCAAATATAAGTATATTTAACGCAATAAACAGTGTTAGAAAGCGTTGTGAAATTTGCATCGAAAAAAGAGGAGGTCAATTTGAGCATTTTTTGTAGCATTGTTTTAATAATGTTTGGAAAATAAAATTATTAGTATTTGTTGTTAAATTACTATTTTTTTGCGTTAATAAAATATTTATAAATACTATTTGATCTAACAAAAACAAATAATATATTAAATAATGTCAATCTTATAGATGTGAAAATTTTTAAAAGTTATTCATAAAGTATTAAGAAATGTAGGTATGTAGTAAACCTACAATTTCTAAAATCAGCCACTTAATAATTTATCAAGTTGCTAATAAAATAGTGTGAAGCAATGCAAGTCATTAAATATTTCCGTATTAACAGTTGGTGTAATAAACATAATTATTTGTTTTTAAATACCAGAAGTTATCTTCTTATTTAATTGTTAACTTTTTAGATTTTACCTACCGCCCCGTAATTTACAGGAAACTGTAAATTTAATTTCGCCGATGATACTAGATGGAAATTTTATAAAAAATGTTTATTTTTGGCTTTATTCTAAAACAATAAGAAATAGACCTGTCGAACCCTATATT